TAGTCTCCCATCAAACAGCAGTTATGGTTTATGACAGCTTTTAAGAACCACACCTAGAAAGAAACACGGCTATTTTACGGTTTCTTGGTTGTAATGTCACACGGCAGTATTCCTACAGAACCGAGAGACCTTTGATAAGATTATTGATATACCATCCATGGAGAGACTAAGGTCGGCTATAATATGAACCAGAATTTAGTGTTCTGTGTAGCCCGGATTATTCGGTTAATATAACCGTGCTTTCGTCTCTCGCTACCGAAGTTCTTGCAGCCGCGTTCTCCTTACAATTCACTTCGATTCCAATCAAAAGTTCGCTTGTACATAACTAAAGTAAAGTTTCATGAACGGAAAAGTTACGATTGATTTTATGAAACAATACATGCGGCCTATATATTGAGCATTGTACATACAACCGAACTACTTTTTTACGTCCATGATAATTACGCTCCCTCCTACAATCACCAAAATCCAAGGTTTCACTGCCATGAATTCTCGCTTGACAATACGACTATGTATTCGTACAGAGTAATGCCCCCCTCCACCTCAAAGAAAACCAAGAATTTTTGAAAGGCAGCGAATAATACTAAATGTACGTTCTAAAATCATCCAAAAAAATGAGTGGAGCTTTTAAGACTGCAATACATTTTGAAATTTCATCTTCCGATACCGAAAGTTATTCCTATTTCCGTGACGATGCAAATGCATGATAAACAGCAGACACCGTTTCGAATCCGAAGACGAAGAATAGGGCCTAAAATCTTAGCCATGGTTAGACAAAACGGTAGACATAGAAACATTGAGCGTTAGCAAAAATACTATTTTGCAATTGAAACCCCCCGACATTTATTTTCTACGGATTTTTAAAGACTTAACGCAATCAAAAAAGGTCTTGTCGGATGTTTACGACCTCTCATCGAGACTCGAAAGAGATAATCGTCTGACGGTTTTGAACATCCTGTATATGATCACATTTCATGGATAGAGCCGTCGCGTATGCAGTTCATTACAGTCCGATCGATGTGAGTTTCGACATTATCCGTCCGCGATGGTTCCATGTTGGTGGACGAAGATTTTGATGAATTCTGTTCACATAAACCTGACCCCGGGACTCACCTACTTCCCTCCATTCGTAATATTCCTTCGAAAGCCGACATTATCCTCAATTTTCATCTTCCACCCTAATCTTTCTGACAATACATACCAGTATCGAGGAGTTGCAGCGAAATTAAAAAATTGAAACCCTCAAAATTAAATATTTTATTCAAAACGCGAAGTATTTTGTTGCTGCTTTACTCTTGCATACGAATTTGTTACGATTGCACCAGGGGTATAGGTGCGCCCAAAAGTGGCGACGCTGTTGAGTCCCCGGAGGACTTTTAGGACCCCTACAAACACTGGAAAAAAAAAACAAAAAAAAAAACAAAAAAAAAAAACACATTGGATCTAGAGTCCAGACTCTTAAAAACATCGACAAGAAAAAGTACTCTTTATTCAGTCAGAATCTAGCTTAGATCGAGAACCAAGCCTCTTAATTAAAGCAGATTTCGTTTTGATTCAAGCAAAAATCCGATTGAATCAAGAGTAATTTTTCTTGTCAATGTTTTCAAGAGTCTGGACTCTAGATACAATGTGTTTTTTTCCCAGTGAAGCCCCTGTCATAAGTGTTTCTGGACCCGTATGTATGTGGGTGTTAAGAGAAACTTGGTCATTTATAACGCCAGGGTTCACTCTCATAATTTGTCAACGCTGTTTTACCTCCGTTTCTGAGGATATAAGTTTAAATACGTTATAGAAACGCCTAGGAGCAAGATCTTAGATCTAGAATTTTGTTCTTCATTCGAAAATATATGTAGGAAAGCCACCCACTGAAAAAAAAAGTTCGGTATTCCATGTCATCTCAAGTAACTCGGTTTGTCAAACTGAATTTTCGGTTTATCAAACCGAATTTCGGGTTCGTGTGACCGAACTTGTGCGGTAAAGTGAACTGACGAATAAAGTTTGGTCATATATATGCCGAACGTTCGGCTACGCGAACTGAAAGTTCAGTTTGACAAACCGACTATTTGGGATGATACGTTCAGTTCACATGACAGACTTTATTTCAGTGCAGAGCAAGATCTTGGATCTAATATTTTCTTCTTTATTCGACAGTAAAGAAACGCCACAGAGCAAGATCTTGGATCTAAAATTTTGTTCTTTATTCGACGAATGTTTCCCGGCTCACTTCTGATAAAATAAGACACGGGTTTTCAAAAGAAGACTTCGCGTACATGGGTCCTCACTAACTCGTAATTCCTCAGATCCTTTCGCTTGGCGAATGCCGCAAAATTGAGTAACAGGCTTTGCTTGAATGTCTATGGTGGAAATAAAATAAATTCCAAAAGTTCACACATGGAGCAAATTGAACCCATCTAGGTAGATATCATATAGGGAATCGCGTTTCCACGATTTATAACTCGATTTTGCAAACCTGGAAGTCGTGTCGTGTGTCTAGCCGCGTGTACGGTTCCTATATTGCCGAAGTAAGATTAATGAATTCTCCTGCTCGCCGCTCCGCCCGGCCCAGGTGAGCCTCGTGTGTGCTCCTACATTGCGTGGAAACTCATCGCTTCGACGTATCCTCCGAGTTAAACTCCGTCGTTAACTTTGGGAAAAGTTGTCAGCAAATAAAACTGTGCGGTTTTCAGGCTCGAGCTCGAGCATTTCAGGCACGGAAAGGATGGGGCACTAGACACGGGGAAAACTAAAGCACCTCGTTGCGTCGCGTGTTGTCCATTAAAAATTTTACGTAGGAAACGGTTAAAAGAACGTAAAGTTCGGAATACAGCTTCTAGAGAAGATATAAGTATTCATAGTTTATTAAAACACACGTGTGACCATCCACAGGAAAAGGGGAAGTCCTCAGTCCGCAAATATTTCAAATGCGAGTTGCTGATACCAATGGCAAATTGTTTTAAAAAAACTCTGAGACAAAAAACAATCGAAACTATTGAATCAAACCAGAGAAATAGCGGTTTGAAGTTCGCAGTCAAGAAACTTACAAGAGCTGTTCAAAACGCGTATCTGCCATGTTCAGGGTATGAAATTACCGGGTACATTTATGAAGTTACAGTGCAACTTCCTGTCCTTAGAGTTTAACAAAAATGAATAGAGGTGCTCAGTGGTATGGGCAAGGGGGGATCCAGGGGGTCTGGACCACTCCCCCCCCACCCTCGTTAATCGAAACCTTTTTTTTTACTTTTGGAGGGCAGACATAAAATATTATCAGGGAAGTACACAAAATAATGTGAATCGACCTCCCCTCCCCCCCTTAAAGAATTCTTAGCTACGCCACTGGAGCTTCTCACAATTTATTTGAAAGGACTATAGAGAGTTTTCCGTCATAATTTCAAAATGTGATTTTTCGAGCCAATTCGACAAAAAGATCGTACCGAAAGTACGCCTTTGTGGACTGAGGTTCCGTTCCCTTGGACGTTTACATTTGATGACATTTACGTGACCTGTGTTCCATTTTATCAATATTAGGTGAGGTTAGCTGCTCCTAGGAGGAGTCAATTTCCAAACTTTCTGTTGGGTAGGTAAATAGTTTCCTGCGTAAAAATTTGAAGGAAATTTTTTTTGTCACCATCTAAAAAAAATTGAAATTGTTTTTCATCGTTGGCTTCGTTGGTTTTCTGCATCTTATAAATGAGATTCATTCCAAAATTCGGCCTGCATTATTGGTCTCTCCCAAACGGCAACAGATCACTGTCAAATGATAAAAATTGTCAATTTATTCAACTCGATTATTGGATTGGTGAATCAAGTTATGCGCTGTCATGACGTAAAGATTTTTCTGTATGGTGTAGCACACTAGAAGAACCTGATGACGTGGAAAAGTAATCTAAACCTCATCTCTACCTTCCGAGAGAGCTGGTAGAATGAAATCCCACCCAATTATTTTGATTGGTCTCAGAGCGCCAATAAAATGGAAAACTTTATCAGCTCAGCGGTGGAGAGGCGATTTGTGATTATCAGTCCGACAGGAAGCTACGGTGACAATTTTGAAAAAAGTGAAGGAAGCATTCTCACTCACACACCATTTCAGATTTTACTTTATATGATGTGAGCTTCATCGAGTATAATTCAGTCAACTCCGGCAATGGATTCTTGTTCAATCATGAAAATAATCATGATATATTTTTTAATGCACCTTCAAAAAAGTTACACGAACACGAGAGCATACGAGGCACCTTGAAGGGTGTTGTTTCCTATTCGCTGTTAATACTATAGCGCCTTATTTATAAAACTCTTGAAATATATGGTCATTAATACTTCGATTAACATTTTTCAATTCAAAATCTATTTAAGATTTATCTATTACTATTTTTAGCGATTATAGGTACACGAATTCGCTGTGAGTTAATTTTATGGAAATTTCCACCTTTCACTGGAGCGTTCTACCGTTTCTGAGAGCATATAAAAGAGCAATACTTTATCCTCTAATGTCAGTTAATGACGGACGAAATCTGAGTTCATATACTTTGGAAGCAACTATACTAACTCCCGCGTAGCTAAAATTGCATAATCTATTATTTGAAGGAATTATGTTTCTTTTGCAACGATATGCAGTAGAAGGGTGGCATTTTAGCGCAGCGCAAACTCTATGAGTGACGAGTAAACATGTCAACAGTATTGAGGCATTGAAGCAACTATTTCGATTGTCAGATAAGAAAGAGGAGGTAAAGATGGAAGAGGGAGAAGAGGAACAGCGGTAAAAGAAGAAAAAGAATAAGAAAATGACTTTTCCTACATATTTACATCTTCTTCTTTCTTATTCCTCTCATCCTCCTCTCCAATTTTTCTCCTTTCTTCTTCTCTTTATCTTCTTCTTTATCCTCCTTCTCTTCTTTTTGCCTCTTCGTCTTCTTTTTCCTTAATAAATTCCAGCAAATCTCTGGTTTTTTTAGGGCCCGAGTCGGTGAGGATAAAATAAAAGGAATTGATGAAAATGGACTAACCTGCTCTGACGCGGACATCGCGGCTGACGATGCGTCCGACGAGGTTGGCGGCCTGGCAGCGGTAGGTGTTGGAGTGGACGTCGATGCGGTAGCTGCTCGGGGCGAACGGGAGGAAGTGGATGGAGCCGTTGGGGAGGAGCTCGAGGATCTGCGGGATCGGGCTCACCGGCTTCCCGTCGCCGTAGAGCCACGAGACCGAGGGCACCGGGCTCCCGCCGGCCGCGCAGTCCAGCCGCACCCCGGTGTCGTTGGCGAAGTCCGCTTGGGGTGGCGGCTCCTTGAAGAAGGACGGACCGATGTACAGCAGTGAACCTGGACACAAGAGAAAGTCACATCTTAGAATACAGTAACAAACATTCAAATATGAGATACTAAGGGTAAGGGTGCCAGGGCTAAGTATGTGGAACTTGATAAAGCACCATGCAGAGGCCTGGGCATCGCTTTAAAGCGCCTTCAAGTTTTGGTCATGCAATATGGATATCCGTAAACCACGAATAGTTACATCAAGGAGTTGAATGGATATGTTGCATGTGTGAGGAATTTGCGATTTGACTATAGATTCTTACGTAAAAGTTCGCGAGAAACACGATGGTGCCACTGGTTTTCTCTGAAAACAACTCCCAAGCTCGAAAAAAGCTCTCAAGTTGAGCCCAAAATGAAGGGGATATCCCACGCTATCCTAAGAGTCCACCTTTACATCAAGACGAACTCTCCATGCATAGATAGGGAGCAAATACATTGACAGGGCTGCAACTTTATTTGGGGACTCTTAAACTGAAAACACGGCATCACTGCTAATGTATTTGCTCCCTATCTTTGCATGGAGAGTTTGTCTTGATGTAGATGTGGACTCTCCGGATAGCTTCGGATATCCCCTCCATTTTGGCCTCAACATGAGAGCTTTTTTTGAGCTTGGGAGTTGATTTCAGAGAAAACAAGTGGCACCATCGTGTTTCTCGCGAACTTTTACAAAAGAATCGATAGTCAAATCGCAAATTCCTCACACATGCAACATCTCCATTACAGGACCGGTGGATGTAGTAGGGGTCGTATCAATCTGTTAGTAGACAGTTCCCCTCCTTGGGAGGCCCCGTATGGTATGGTGTACATTGTGATTAAGGGAAGTTCAAGGAGATCCTTATCAAAGCATGTTATTAAAACAATCGTTGCTAATCGAGAAATATCATTCATTTTCACGACGCGACGTGGTACAGAACGCGCCCACAGTAAGAAAATTCATATGTATAAGCAAAAGAGTCCGAAAATATTGATAATTGATCATTTTGAGACATTTATGCCTAGATTTTGACGATCCATCTACCATTATTTCTAGATATTATAATGACTGGGTATTTGAAAAATGAATATATTTGCGGAAAAAAATTTGTTGTTATTACTTGAAATACTTTTTTTGGTTTGTTTGATATAAACCCGATTACCCTGATTACCCTCGAATGAGAATTGCAGCGCAGGGTGGCAGAACCATAATCTTTCAGAGTAAACGATTCTTGCGTCAAACTGAGTTAACTGCGAGCTGATTGTTGAAATTGGTAGACAAAGCAATAGACAAAGAAGACAACAGGGATATGGAGGGATCCTATTGGTGGAAGGGAGTGATTGTAATAGACAAAGGAGGAAGGTAATAGATTAACTAACGGCAACCCACGAGGGACCCTTTAGTTAGTCCATCATTTTCTCCCTTAGTCTACAGGAACCACTCGATTCAACCAATAGGATCGCTCCGTACTCCTTATGTCTTCTTTGTCTATCGCTTTGTCTATCGATTTCAAAAACCAGCTCGTTGTGCATGGTATAATGTAAAGAGCGATTCGATGAAGATTCGTGAACATCTCGATAAACTCTAGCTGAAGTCTACGGTCAAACTTCACTTTTCAAACTGAAATGCAGCTCCCGGCAAGTTTTGTATCTTAGTTGGCTGATGCATGGCTTCGACTTCTCAAACGAGCAGATAAAAGTTGAAAATTTGCTCCAGCTTTTTTTGAATAAAGTTTTTATCTCGGACTCGATAGTTTCCAATCGTGTTCGGCATTCAATGAGAACGATTAAACGTCAAACGTCGGAGGAGGGAAGATGCCCCAAAGCAAGCTCAGACGGGCATTAATGCCACGACAGCGTTGCCATTTTACACGTGGAATTTTCTGATCTGACATCGCTTCCTGGGGAGAATTCAGGGATTTTCCACGACCGCGGCAACAGAGGGCACGATCGTTGAAAGATTAGTTGTAAACATCACGACTTGAAGTCCCTCAATAAATCATCGCCGTGACTGAATGAATACAAAGCGCGGAATCCAGGGATGAAGTTTTATTCATTCCTTCAGTCCTCTCCGCATTCGTCAAATCGCAGGCAGCTTCAAAGGGAAATTCTATCGTGCACTGCAAGCTTTCCTTGCATTTTATCCAAAGATTCTCACAAAACTGGACCTTGTCCATTAAAACACACGAGAAGAGAGTTTTGGTTCCGTGTGGAAAAACGTATAAAAATAAAAAAATAGGAGCGGAGTCTTTGAAACACCTTAAGCGAGATGCGCAATTTTGCAGCATCACCGTTGATAAGCCTTGGTGTCAATACACGGAAAAAGAGGTAGGGGTTGTTGGATGATACGGGCATATCCAATAAACCGCGGTGGTACCCCAATAAAGTAAGGTTACTTACCCAAATATTGCGGTATTACAAGTACCGCAACATCAGGCGCTCCAAGCAACTATTTTAACCCTCCGGAACGCTCGTTGCCTATTCAATCGATCGAGGGCGCTTTGAATACCTTGCCAATTTCGATTTCTCCAAGTTGCGCACGTTACTACTCAACCTGATTTATAGTGCTGCAACAATTGCTTGAAAATGCCCGTATCATCCAACACATTGGAGTAGTGCAACAATTTTAGGGGATAACCCCTAACACTTTATTTTCCGTGTAGCTTGATTTGAGTATTTATCCCCATAGAGAAATTTTGCATTTTGAATCAATTTGCAAATCCTCACTCCATAAAACCGTAGCTTAATACAAGCTAGTTTCTTGTACGCTTCTGTTGTAATGTGCTACGTTGCCGTAGTAAATTTCAGTTAATGTCTAGACGTATACCTCCTTGCACTCCAAACGTTGCCAATGTCAAATTAAAAACTGGGCAACCATGTAAAAAATGCCTAAAATAACCAGGCTCCATAGCTGAAGCTCAAATTAGTTCAAAGAGAAAGTCCAAGTTATGTAAGCTGAGAGGAACGATAAAAAAGTAAAAACATTTACTCCAACTTCGACGCTGAAAGTTTTTCGGGCAGATAACCGAACTTTTCCACCGCTCGAAGGTTTAAGTTTCGCAGGGCTTTCGTACTCCCCGAGTTTTTATCGTGAATTCTCGTTCGCTGGGAACAACCATTATCCTAATTTCGATAGTTCGTCGTTCCTCTGACTAAAGGGCGTATCTCTAGTCTCGCATGAACCGCGGAAAACATAAAGTTATATGGAAATCAGGGCTTACGCGGATATTGAAATATGCCATTACGTCCGTAGCGATGAGTTGTTTCAGAGAGAGCTTACACGTTTACAGCGAGAGTGTTTTGACCACGGATCAATACATCATCATCATCATCATACCGTAGAACTCATTAAAGGTCCGTCTGTATATATTTTTTAAGGTATAAGCTTTCATTAGAGATATGTTTCACTACCTGAATCAAGTATCAAAAAAAAAAGAAAAAAATGAACACTTTTCATGGAGACTTTTTGCGTTTAACCGAATATTATTTTACAAGGCTTCTGGCGGCCAGAAAAACGGGAATCATTCGGAAAATTTAGAGAATCCAATTCAGTAGGAAGAAAAGATGAAAACCATGGAAACTTAAGAAATCCTCGGTAAACCCATGGAATTTTAGTTTTTTTACAGTAACGATGGTTAAAAATTTGAAATTTTGTCTTTCTGAATAATTTTATTGTTGAATCTTACATTTTAACTTTCTACAAAAGAAAACACGAGAAATTGGGAATTTTCAGAATACCAAATGAGAACCTTGAATATTTACGTCTATCATGTAATCCACAGGCAACTAAAACTATTGTGTAGTTAGCGCTACACAACAGTAAAAATAAATAGTCCTACCAATGCTCATCCTCGGAAGATGCTTTATTTTCAATGTGGATACTGACCTGTCCCAATTGATCTCATTGTACGTATTTTGGGACAGACGTTACAGAACTTCCGAAATAGAACAAGATGCATGGAGTGAAGCATAAAAGGTGAAGACAATGAGCAAGCAGATAGAAGAAACAAACCCTCGGAACGACCGAGCATAGGACCCAAATTTTGCGATTAGGAAATACTATTTCTGGCTCACTTTAGAAATAACATATGTGCCATTAGTTTCCCTACGCAGAAAAGTGCTTTCATGGAGGATCTCGAGATAGTGGCTCCTTATTGCAAGATGTAATCCAACTTGTCGGCGGCAATTTGCGATGAGCTAGACGGCGCGTCGCGTCGCGGCGCGGCATGGGCGGAAGAATATTGTTCATTTCAGACACGCGTCGAGGGAACTCGTAACTCGTAAGATGCGGTTATTGAATTAGTCGTTAAAATTAACTACACCCAGACTCGCTCCTGCGCTGACGATTGCACTGAGAGTGTCACTCAGCGTCTGTTACCGTCACTGCTCCAGAACTCAGCTCCTGCAATTTTTTTTTCGAGGAAAATTAATTACAAGAACGTCGCCCGGGAAGTAAGAAGGATGACGTTTGACTCTTAGCTCCCTCAGTCTTCGCTGAAGCTTTGCTCGTCAGTTTTACAACGTTTTTCAAGAATTTTAAAAGCTTGTAACCCCTCTTCCAACCTATCTAAACATACTTGAATCGCTCAGTTCGGAATCGACCCTATACTCCAGCGGGAAAAAAGTAAAATGCGAACGCAAAAAACTGATTGGAGGCACAAGTTATTAATGATTTGAATTTTGTTCTGGCGCAAATTATCTAATGTCACACGATCAAACCTAGCTATCAAAATATCAAGAGCAGGTGCTTTGATTGGCTTATTTGATGACTTGGGCCAATCATAGAGCTTCGCCTAGATATATTGACGGCACAGTTAGATCGAGGGACATCAGCGCAAGGGCGGATCCAGCAATTTGGCAACACAGGATTTCCTACATTTACACCTATGTTAAATAATCGATTCTTGTTGGAGTACTCGGCCCTTCAAGAATCGATACATTTTCATAGGTTTAAATGGAGAAAAAACAACTTCGCCAATTTGCTGAATCCGCCAATGCGCGAATGTTAAAATATAATTAAGAGTCGTCACTATGTG